TTATCAAGGCCCCTAAATTGGGGTTTCTGTGTGGATGGCGGATCTTGCTGGTGCGCCGCTGTCCGTCACATAGCATGTGCTACCGAAGGTCATGAGCAGCTCAATGAGTCATCTTTCATTCAGAGAATCACTGCACAGTTTGCCTTTGCGGGGGGTTCCGCAACACCCCGCATTCTGCAAACGGAAGCAGCCTGTCAATAGAAGAATGTTACCATTGCGCAGCTCAGAAGCCGACTGAGCCACAAGCATGGGGAATGGCCTGAAATGAAGCTCGGTAAGCTCTTCAGGTACGACTTGGCAATGGGAATCACAAGCATGCACTCACCGGCCATGCACCCTCAACAACATCTTGACCGGTTTAGCATCGCAGATGGTGGCTTTCTCCGACAATGCCAGCCGGTGTCTCAAGCCAAGGTGCGTTTGAGGCGCAATCCAACTTGTCTCTCGTGCCCAGCCTTTGCTGAAGCTAACGAGCACATTGTACAGGAAAGCCATGTTCAGAAGATCCAGTCGAATCTTGCGAATGGCCGTTACCCCGTAAGCAGATGTTGCATCCCCCAACTGATGTCCACCATCTATCAATCAGATCTTTGGGCAAGAGACAGGAAAATGGACAAGGCGAGTTTGATGTTTTTCCAGACCACCTGTGGCGAGAATGGGCAACTGTTTCAACCAGATATGTGCCAACATTCGGAGATGCAAAGACACCGCAGAATCGAACTTTCAACGGACATTGCACGTTCTGTGCACACACATGTGCAGACAGGCAAGCAGGCATGCATGCAAGAAGGTGCAACAGAATGCACGCAAAGAGCCTTGGGTGTATGCACCTCATGGGTAACATGTGCATGTGCGCGTATGACTTTGTGCTTCTCACCCTTCCTTCCTTCCATCATCCGTCCATCCATTCATCATCCAGCCATTCATCCATCCACGCCAATGCATCCATCCATCCATCCATCCATCCATGCGCCAATCCATGCATCCATGAATTCCTTCCCAATCATTCACTCCTTCCGTTCTTTCATTCCCCATTGCCTCAGGTCTTTCCTACATTCTTTCACTCCTTCATTGAACTCTGAATGCATCCATTCATTCGTTCATCCGTTCCATCCAGCCGTTCGTCCAATAGTCTAAATCCTTTCATTCATTCATTCATTCATCAGTTCATCCGTGCATCCATTAATCAATTAATCCATGCGTCCATGCATCCATCCATTCGCCCTTTCTTTCCATTCAGGCATTCATTCTTTGCATTCCGTCATGCATTCATTTCGTTCATTCAACCAATCATTCAATCCAAGCCATTCATTCATTCATTCATACTTCCTGCCTTTATTCAACTCAGTGACTGAGCGGTTCGGCCCATTTCCTTTCATGCTCATTGAAGTGTTCATCTTCGCTTGATTCGATTCCATCCCTTCGCTCAACCACCACCTAAGGCAAGTCTTTCCACCCATGCTAATACAAATCAAACCCCAATTCCCGTTGTGTACATATCCGTACTGTACGTATGTATACTCATCTGTCTACAGTCTAGCTTTGTCAGCTGGTGAGCTGCGGAGATGCAGTTCAAATCAAGAGCACCCGTTTTCAAGCAGGAGTCGTGCCTTTGGGTCCAGACCATTCTGCTCCTCGGCGATCTTGAACCACTTGTGCAGCGAACCTGGCAGGATAGGGCCCCGAGCAGAGGTACGAAATGACCTCAACGTCCGTCTGTGTGTATATATACATATATGTACACACACCCACAGGTTATGTGTATATATATATATATATATATACATGACGTATATACACACTACATACATATTACTACGTCCAGGCGCATCTGGCAGACAGATAGATAGATAGGTGTCTGGAAATGAAATGGTGCACAGGCGAGCGGGAGGGTGCATCCTACTACACTGGCACCCCCCCCTTAATTAAATCAGGCCTACAGGGGTGAGGATATAGATAGATAGGTGGTAGCCAAGTGGTTGCAAAAGCTGGGCTTCTTGCTTTCCACAGTCCCCATATCACCATTAACCCGCTCTTATAGAACCCTGTTAACTCCGAAGAACCCTTAATAAAGGGGCCTTACTAATCACCGGCTCGTTGTTAGAACTATAGTATAATGTACCCCAAACCCCATCCTAAGTCTTCAGACCCCTGAATATTTGAGCTTAGAAGCTGCCCCCACCCTGTAATAGTGACTATAAGGATTATGTTATCTTAGGGCCCTAGTATATTCTTATTATACCACTATTACAGGGTGGGGGCCTCTTCAAAATTAGAGCCCTCAGTCTCCGAAGCACCGGCCTCCTGATCCGGCATCGTGCTCCGCGCCCCGGGGATGCCCCCAGCTGGGGGCGGTGGGGCACTGGTAGGTGCCCGCCTGCTGAAGCAACGAGCCAGAATGCCGGAAACTCTGCCACTCTCGAAAGAAACACAAAACAAGCTAATGTAGGGCCCATTATACTATAAGCATAATCAAGAACCCCCCCCAAACAAATTGTATAGTTAGTTATGAAGGCCTCTATAGTACCTTGGAGTGGTTCATGAAACGGAACACCATGGATATCAAGAAGCAAGCGCTGCTTCCAAGCCATATCTCTCTGACTATGAAACCTCCCAACCTTGCAACTCCTGTGGGCAGACTTCACGAGCCTCGATCTTGGGAATGTGGTGGGTCACGTGCATTAACGCGTCCTGCCCGCAGGCACGGATGTTAATGGAGAGCTGTCTGCACGTGTGTTTCCCTTCATGTAGGCGTGTACACGCATGCGTTATGATTTTCGCATTATGGTCATGCCCCTACATTAGCCTACATGCCCGTGTAATCGATAGGTTTCTCCAGGCACCCATGTGTGCGTGTGAATAAACACATACATGTAGATGTATATATATATATATATGTGTGTGTGTATGTGTGTGTAAAAATGTACATATGTATATATACATATGTATATACATATATATATATATATATATATATATTAGTTATACATATACATATATGCGGGTATGTATTCATATACACACACAAAGGCTCTGCGTCTATACATGTATATGCACCTGCCTGTAAGCCTCCGCTTTGCCCTTGGCAACAGCTCCTGGAAGTCGTCGTCCTTCGATGCCGAATAATTCTTTTCCAGAAATCCAGATCGAAAGTATCCTGGGCAGCAATTGATTGTGCGATTACCCTTGATTCTGCAGCGTACAGTACGTCGTGAAGAGTTGCGTCTTAAACACCGCTAGGCCCTAGGCCAAATAAACTATCCCCCAGGCATTTCGGCGAGCAATGTGCTTGCTCTGCACTCTTGCAACTGCGAGCTTCATCTTCGGAAAGAGTTTTACATGGCATCTTTGCGCGTTAAGATCGCATGTCTTAGGTGAATTCCTCGTGCGTGCGCCTAAATCAGATTAGATGACAGCATGCTCCGTTGCAGTGCGAAGCGACTCGAAAACTTCAGTGGGTCCCACTCGGCTCCACAGCCATTTAGTCACTCCAAGCTGCCATACTCACTGATGTAGAAACCTGGACAGCCAACGAGGCAAGAACCATGACCAGAGGAATCCTACACAACAATACCAGCGGCAGTGTCAGAAAGCTGCCCGACTCTCTCTTGTACAGGGTTTCGCGGGTACACGGAGAGAGCGGGCATGAGCAGGCAAGCTGAGCCATGCGGGAACCGAACAGCATTCCTTTAGTCCACTTGCACGGAGGCTCAGTGCAGGCACCCTGAGGTATTGCTTGGAGTTCGCAACACTTTCTCCCCAGCTCCTGAACAAGCCCCTGCAGTCCCAAGGACGGAAGGGGTCCATGGAGACCACTGTGCCATAGATGCGGATGTCCGTCTTCACCGTGACAGGCGGCCAAACGCCTTCCAGCCTTAGTGCGGAATCGGCTATAAGAAGGATGTGGCGGGCAACGCCACTTTCGAAGGAGCTTTGTGCGCGCTGTAGTATGCAAGGTGACCCTGCATAAGCTCAGATGGGGAGATCTGACGATGTCTACAGTGATGTTGGCTTTCGCACCTTCCCCTGCTTATCGTTTGCAGGCTTCTGGTCGGGACGACTTCATGGTAGGCTCTTGTTTTGCGTCGAAACCCACGAGCTCCTTCCGAAGTCACGAAGTAACTTGTGGTCCTGGCCAGGCGGCTGGTAAAGCACGGGATCCAAGATGTACTGCTGCACCACCGCTCTCCTCCGAACCCCAACAGCGAGAAGGTAAAGGATGGTGCACGCGCATGGCTGAATCTAAGATGGAAGTAATAACATTAATGACAACAATAGTAATCGTCATGATAATGATAATATGGATGTATACACCTGGCCCAACGTCAACCCTGCCATGAATGGTAATGACATTGTCGTTGCAATAAAACATGGCAGTAGAACCACATGTACGTGTTGGCAGCCATCTAAATGGGACACGACGATGGCTGCAATGACGAAGGGGCCGGAAACAAAAGAAGCAACTCTCAAGCTTTCTCCGGGGCTCTGCTTGGCAGAAGAGCTCAGAACAGCTTCCGGCGAACCGCGGGGACGTTTGCCGCCCCGCCAGCCCCCGAGGTACATCGGGTTGGAATCGGTACAGAAGCGCGGAATGCCAACCTCCGTGCAAACTGAAATCGAACCGCATAGCCGACATGAGCGAAACTTGCCATACTCGGCTTCGTAGCTTGATTGAACACACACACACACAGACCTGAAATGCAAGGCTGCTGCGCTGCACTACAAAATCAAGAGGATCACGAGTAACAGTCTTGGCGTCCAAACAGGAACCGCAAGTTGAGAGTCTGGCCACATACTGCTATAGGGGCCTTAATACTTAGAATAGGGTTTTGAAGCCCAACATACTATAATTAATATAACAAGGAACCCCCAAAATACTATTGCTAATTATTTATAGGCCCCTATCCTAAACCCTAAACCCTATAGATCCCTGAAAGGAACCTTTAAAGGATCCCTTTAAAGGGCCCCCCCATGCGCTACTATTACAGCCACAGTCACCCAGCAGCCCTCGGCATCGCGCCAGTTCCAGGCTTCACAGGCGCTACCAAGGCCACGGCAGGCCTCGCCTGCGCGACACACCCGGTTTACGCTCTCGCAACCCGGTTTAGGGTTTGGGGTTTCGGTTAATTAAGGGCTTAGGGAGTTTATAGGGTTTAGGGTTTGGGGGTTCGGTTTACGGATTTGGGTTGTTTTTGACACTCACACTCGGACAAAGCCTGGCAAGGTCTGCAGCGATACTGGTCGCACGTTGACGAGACACCAGGGTGTAGGGTTTAGGGGTTGCGGTGAAAGGTTTAGGAGTTTAGGGTTGAGAGGGTTTCGACGCTCACACTCGCACAAGGCAGGCAAGGCTCCACATAGAGAGGGTTTTTCGGTTCAAGGTTTAGGAGTTTAGGGTTTATAGGGTTTAGCTGTTTAGGGTTTATAGGTTTTAGGGTTTGGGGTTTCGGTTCAAGGTTTAGGAGTTTAGGGTTGCGGCGCTCACACTCGGACAATCCAGGCGAGGCATATGGTTCGACGTCTGCTGAGTGAGACGACTCTAAGGCAGCCATTCAATTACCAAATGGGAGTTTCCGAAAATAGGGGACCCTAATATGGTACCCTAAATAGTAGGAGCCTTATTATAAGGACCCCAAAATAGGGTACCCCTTTTTCGGAAACTCCCAAATCCATAAGGCCAGAACAATAAGGTAACTGTGCATCTCGCAGTGTGCGACTTCTTGGGGTTTCGGTTTAGGGTTTAGGAGTTGTTCCATTCTTTTTTTGGAACCGCAAGACGTTTAGGGTTGGGGGTGTATAGGGTTTGGCAGTTTAGGGTCGTTGTGTTTGCAGCAGCCCGTTTTTGTAAGCCTATGAGTGGTGAGAAATGTATCTTCAGCCTAACATGGTCACCAGGCGTTGTGAGGGCAAACTTTTGTACGGGGCCCGGCTTTACTGCACATGGGAATATGCAGCTACTGAAAAGACGAACATGGCATGTTTATGGCCCATGATTTCGAGAGCATGCAAGCGGGCACAAAGACCGGTGGCCATCATCATCATCCCCCAACGAAATCCCATCTCTCCTGAAACGACTAATTCCAGTACCGGGTCGCTGCATGTCGCCGCAGTTGCTGAGGACCCCTGCCGGTGTGCTAAGGGAGTTATCCAGAGCCTACGTCAAAAATGCACTGTGCGATACTGCGCCTTGTGGGGCCATCGAGCGATGGCTGCAGCTGATCAAAGCTCAGATACGCTAGCCACGTTTCAGTCAACGTCATGACAACCGTGACATTTGCATGGTTAGTGTACGTATGTGCGAACGCATACATGCCTGCTGGCACGGTCTTCTGCTGGGTGTTTGGAAATTCAGGATGTTGAAGTGTTTTCGCTTGGCTTTTGGTTCTGCTGAAGACAACTTCAAAACGCTAACCCCTCTTTCACAAAATATTTCGCGTCTGTACAGACGTCTCACACACACATATACAGATTTATGATCTACAATATATATATATATATGTATGCATATAGGCATGCATATGTGCAGAGAGGTAAATGTATGAATGCATACATACATTGCATTACATTGGTGATGTGCAGATATGTTTGCTGTGTATTTACACAGAACGCAAATCACAGTCTGCCTCAGGTCCGGCTTCGAGACCCAAGCACTGCGCATCCTGCATCTTTGGGGCGCTAAGTAGAGGGTTTAGAGTTGGGTGTAGGGGTCTAGGGTTTAGGGGTTTAGGGTTTAGGGTTGAGCAACACTACAGGAGGGGTGAAGTCAATCCTGAGTCGCATCGGAAGCACTCAGCTGAAAAGGCCTAGAGGCCGAAGCTTAGTAAGGCACAAGAACCAACCAGCGATTCTGATGACCAAACACATCCTTTGTGCCAAATAGCTTTCGTGTTTAGGGTATCGTCTTTAGGGCGTCCCCTATCGTCTTACAAGTTAGCGCTAGCATTTACCATCTTCGACAACCACCTGCTTCAAAAATGAATGTACCATAATTTTGAACCCATCTCATATACTATATAATATACTATCATGTACTGAAGTGTTGTGTAAAAATATATATATATATATATATGTTATATTATAGGCATTATACATATATATATAGAGAGAGAGAGAGAGAGAGAATCTATATAGAAATATACACACACACATATATATATATATATATATAATATGTATAACCTATTTGGGCTCGCCGGTCCTCCAGCGGCAGGAAGTCACACGCAGCCGCAGCCTGCAACGTGAAGTTTGGAGGCTTGCCAGGACCCCCCCCCCCCCAAGTGCCCTTGAATAGAGCCTCTTATGGACCTGAAGAGTGGCAACTTAGGGTGTACCTAGAGCCTCGTACCCCAGCCCTTCTTAAGGTACCTACTTTTCGAGATAACAGATCCTAACCGTAAAATAGGTATCCGAGACAAGAGGTAGGGTATGAGCCTCTGGGTATGAGACGGCAGGTATAGAGTTTCGTGGTTCGGGAAATTCGGGTGATGGAGCCTTGGCTTAGACACAAGGAAGCTCTTTTTTTGACTTACTGAGTCCGTCGTCCCCCTAACTGGCAGAATAGCCCCATAACCCATGTTGCTATGATCCGTCTGAACCCTATTCTCATCCCCGTAAAGCATCTTACCAAGCTTTCCGACCAATGCAAAAAGCTCGCGCAAGTATTTTGCAGTCGTATTAGTATTTCCATGGTTGTTCGTATTTAGCCGGCCTATAACAGCTCAGCGCTCATTATTACAGTCGGTAGTCTCATCATTGTGGTAAAAACCCTTTTCTGCACAGACTTGTATATGCCCCCCCTCCATGTCGGCTTTACCCTAAACCCCTAAACCCCTTGTTTTGCACAGACTTGTAAAACCCTAACCTGGTAAATTTCTGAAAAAGCCGGCAACGGTACTGTAAGAGCGCCTCCGGACCGTCGTCGGCACCAAGGAGATGGTGCACGCCGAATCGAATCTCAATCCCTCGGCCGCCCCAGGCACCTGCTTGACTTAGTATGGGCTCTTCAAGGACTCCTTAAAGGGACCTATAGGGGTTCCTTAAAGGGATCAAAGGGATCTATAGGGTTTAGGGTTTAGGGGCTACTTGAAGGATCATGGGACAATTAGTAAGTGGGGTTATGAATAAGGCAACTATACCTATAACTATACTTTTAACCCCGATTAAGGTACTTACAACCGCACTAAGTCCCATGATCCTCCAAGTGGATCTATATGGGCAACTAGCAGATGGGACTCATTTTTGAAGTCATGCATTTTTTCAGCATAAGGATCTTCTTCTGCGACGAGGGCTCCACTTTCTGGCAGTAATATATCAATGGATTGCTATAAGGCTACTGCGTACGGTCAGTAAAGATTGCGTTCAGGGCCTCTACACTTTACTGGATCGGAGTTCAGGGCCAGTGCATAGCTTGTACTTGTTGCTTGCCACTCGCTCTCTGCAAAACCAGGTGAGGGCAGCAGCCCTTTCGTTCGCGGTACTTCGCAACGAGGACACAGTTCTCTCTCCGTTCCGGCGTCGATTTCAACCCCTTCGGCATTTTCTCATCTCAGCAGTCTGGATCATGCGACTGTAGGTTTTCAAAAAAACAGTTTCAGGCATCGTAGTTCACGCGGCCCAAAACCGAGAAAGAGACTGCTAGCTTTGCTAGTGATGCTAGTGTGCTGGGCAGGTGCCCGGGCAGTCGCGTTCCTTTGCTTTGCAGCCACAGGTCACCGGACATTGAACGCGAAGAGACACGACCAGATCTCCATCCGTTCGCGGGAAGCATAAGTCACCACCTGCCAATGCCTGGGTTCTTGTTAAGGAATTTAATTATAAGTTACCATAATAAGGAAAGCATCGTATTTCCTATAGATCCCTATTATGGTAACTTGAAAAGATTCCTTAACAAGACCCCAGATGCTTTCACTTCTTCGGAATCCAAGAAAGCACAGCCCGTAAGCCCTCGCGGATGTGGGATACCAGGGCCCAGGATGTAGTTCGCAGTTGCCATGGCCCGATGCCAGCCACCGGTTCTGTAGAACTCCCCGGCTTCCAGCAGCGACTCCGTTTTGTTGGGGCCCGGCAGCAGCTTGTAATAGCTGCTATTCAAGTTCATCATGTACTCGCTCGTGCTGGCATTTCCGATCTCTTCATTCCCGAGCTTCAGCTCGTAGAGACCCTGGAAATAACGCCTCACGTAGCTGCTCGATGCCATTTGCGCGGGAGTCATGTCTGTGCAGGGCGCATACTTTAGCTTCGTCGAACTCGCCCTCTGTGGCATGCACATTTTTGGACAGCCGAAGGGAACAGTCGCGAATGCCGCAGCTGCAGAATCCATAGGCTCATCACAACCACAAGTTTGCGGGCACAGGGACCGCAGAGGGTTCATGCTCATGTCTGCGCACAGGTCCGGCTTCTCTGCCAATTCTTTGCAGCTGCTAACAGTTTTGTTCGTCATGTCCCTCAAGCGATCTCGGACAAGTCCAGCCGGAAATGCATCATCCGTGCAGGGGAGACGCGACGCCGCTTTCTCCACATCACTTTTCTCCAACATCAAAAGCTGGAAGAGTAACTTCATGCTGGCCTCCTCGCTATCGTCGCCTGTGTGAAGGATTGCTGGTTCTCCGTCGTTCTGGAACTTGGCAATCGCTTGTGGCTCGTACCAGTCCGGAATGGAAAACAAATCCACATCTGCTAGTCTGAGCACACTTTTCTGGTTGGCAGTCAAAGGAACACTGTCCGAGAATGTAGGTGTGGCCTCGACTAGGCCAGTAGCTGCGTTGACCGTGTAGATGAAGTCCTGCCTGCCACTGCAGAGAATGTTGTGCGCCAGCTGCACCCTATCATAAAGGGGTTGGAGCAAACACATCCACGACACAGAGAGACCCACAAGAAGAAGGGCAACTTTCAGCAGATTCTTCATGCGCTCCTGGAAGCCCCCCCTTAGGGGGCCTATACCTGGGATATCCAATCGGGCGATGGGCAGCGTCCCCAAGGCGTCCAGCAAAAATCGGGCCCTTCGCGGCATGAAGGCCGACTCTACCTTACTCCCCAAAAAAAATTCCGATTCCTATTAAACTATAAGAACCCAAAAAGTTTGAAGGTTAGGTGTTGGGGGATCTCCAAACCCTACAAAATATAGTAGGAGGGTGTAACCCTTAAAACAGTAGGTTTTTGGATCCCCAGGTACCAACTCATCGAGATCCAGGATGAATGCCAGGGCCACCGCATTGAGGATCAAGTCTGCCAGGCTCAGGGTGTTCGCAAGGTAACGTGTGCCTGTGATAGCCAGGGACACGGCCACCATCAAGCGAGGCAGCGCGACGAAGATGAAAAGCATGAACTTCCGAAACCTTGACATCTGCGTGATGACAACGCTCCCGCTGTCGCCGTCCTCAGCTGGTGCGATCACGGTGATCTCGCCTGATGGGTATCTGTGGATGGCGCTGAGGAAGCCCGTGATGTTGAACAACTCCCGAAGGGTCGTGGAGAGCCAGCAGCCGATAGCCAGCAGTGCTAATATAGGCCCGATGGAGATGTAGTCGTTCAGGTCCGCGATCACTCCTGTTTGCATGTTCGCCCACTGAAGGGAATCATCCTCGCTGCAGACTTGCCTTGCCATTGAACGACCTCCGACGAGATCGGCATATTTCACATCGTGGGCCACGTTCGTCCTGAATCGGAGGAGCTCCGATAGCTGATCTGGCTGCAGGACATCCTCCAGCATGCGGTGACGGACCACCACGACGAAGCCGATCTGAGTGATCATGTTCAATAGCAGCAGAAATGCAGCCAGCACGGAGTCACACTTGCTCAAAGTTGGTAGTCCGATAAACACACAGGCATCCCAGACAGAGTGCTGAAGCTCGTAGCAGGGCCCTTTGGTCGTGATTCCGTCGCGGATCTCATCTCCTTCTGATGTAAAGAGAGCCTCCTCGAAACGTTCCGACTGTGTTTGGATCCTGGGTTCTTGTCAAGGGGTTTTATTTAAGTTGCCATAATCGGGCTATAGTAAATCTTTTATTCTGAGTGAACTGAAATCCGTTCACAAGAACCCTGATGGGAGGCCAAAAGGGGGGTTCAAGATTCTTGGGGTAGGGATTCCTTAATATGAACCCTATTATGGGAACCCTAATCCCTATTAAACCCCCATAGGCTAAAACCCCGTTTGGCCTCTTATGAAACCCATAATCAGCTCACTGGCCATAATATAGGGCCTATAGTAAAGCCTTTAGTAGCTTGAACTATGTAAAAGAATCCCTTCGCAACCCAGGATCAGCTCACTGGAGGAAACGCTGTAGCCATCCTCCAGGTTTTTTTGAAGATCCTGGAGGCGGCGGAGTGGGTCTTCTTCCCTGCCATTCGCCCCGGGCTGCATGGATCGCAAAGCCTCCTCCACCTGGGAGTTTCCGAAAATAGGGGGACCCTAATAATTATAGTACCCCAAACAGTAGGATCCTTCTTATCAGAGTCCCAAAATAAGGTTTATCCCGAAAATTTTCGGAAACCCCCCCCACCTGACCCAAACGGGCCTCCAGCTGCTGAAGCCGCAGCTCGGTCGCGAAGGCAGCCATGACTTCCGCAGGACTGGGACCCCGGTGGACCCGAGCCCTCAAGAAGCTGAGGAAATAGGGGACCCAAATGTAGCACCCTAAATCGTAGGATCCTTATGAATATTATAAGGGTCCCAAAGTAAGGTACCCCATTTTTTCGGAAACTCCCAGGTGAATCCCCTCACGCTATGTAGTGTGAGGGGCCTCAGCTTTTCTGAACTCTTCGCCTGTAGTATCTGCTGCATTTCTGAAAGGGGCATTGGCCTACATGGCTCAAGGCTTCGGGAACATATTTTTCCGGACACACCCGTAACCCGCACCATCACCCGAATCTTCGAAGGGAATCATCACTACCCTCAGGCCCCGGAGTAGTTCCTTTTTGTGATTACCATAGAGTGCTAAATATGAACCCCAAAAAGGACCTACTATGGGGCCTATGGGTAAGGCTCAAACTCAATGTCACTGCAAAAGTCTCTTGAGCCGTGGGGCGGCTGGATGCTTACATCCGGCAACGAGCTGTCGCAGTTCCACTGGCATGAAGCTAACATGAACAGAGGGTACAGCCCTCAAACACGCAAAAAGCTTATCGGGGCTACAAATCTGCAAGTAGTCGCCTCAGAGGTCTCCCACAAGTAGTCAGCAAAAGTCTCCCACCATAACAAGTAGTCTTCAGAAATCTAAACCCTTTTTCCACAGGCTTGATTAGTGCTCGCCCGGCCAGGATCCCCAAGCACACCGCACTCGTGGCGAGATGCTGAGGCTAAGTACGCACAAGACGCATTATGCACAAGAAATCTAAACCCTAAACCCTAACACGCCTTCGGGCTTGCGAACGAAGGCCATGGGTCCGCCCTGCAGGCAGCTCGTGTCGAACCGTAAGACGTCTGAGCCAGACTGCTCAAGGTCTAGAGTTTAGGGTTTACGCTCTCACAACTCGGACACAGCCAGGCGAGGGAATTTAGTTTTTTTGGTTTAAAGGTTTTAGGGTTTAGGGGTGCGGAAAACCGAAGATGACTGGTAATGCTTCCGGCCGCGCAACTATTGATTGTTCAAGTTCTTTCGAACGACATCAAGGCCATTATTGCCATCAGTGTCCTTCCAGAAAGATTTTCCGTTGTCGCCAAGTTTATGCATAAAGGGATGTTCTTGCTGATGTTTACACTGAGATCCGACTGACTGTCGTTTGCCACTAGATGCATCTTCGCATTCTGACTCGATCACGAGTCAATGCTGTTCATGTTTGTTGCGGCGGTTTTAAAGGTAAGCCATAAACCGCTAGCGCGGCTTCCGACACTTCACGAACTGGAGTTGTGAGAGGGCGAGAGAAAGAGAACAATCTTCATCCTTTCTCTCCATGCATATATATATATATATATATATATATATATATATATATATGCGCGCGTGTTTAATTACCTAGGTTCCTCAGTAATCCCTTCATGATCATAAGAAGAGTACCCTTTTTTCCAAATATTCAGATTTAATGAGGAGACCTCAAACTAAAAAGGGTAAAAGGGTACTGCTCAGGAACCTAGTTACTTACATGTGTGTATGCATGCCAATATATGTGTAGATGCATGTGGGTATCTATCTCTCTCCATATACGTTTATGTGTGAGTGCGCATAGTAGCGGCATAAGTCTCGTGTGATTAGACAAACAGATCAAACTTAAACCTGCATGCACACTTATGTAACGTGCCTGAACTTGCACCGTCTACGTGCGTGCCCGATTGCTTACATTACTAGACCCAAGAGTAACCTAGGAGTACAAAGGGTGCCCTTTTTGGTCTAAAGGGTCTTCTGAGGGAACCTGAACCCCAAAAAACAGGGAATAAGGGCCCACTCTCGGTCCTAGATGATGAGAAACTCTGGAAACCGATCAAACCCTCAGAGCCTTAACCCCCAAATCCAACACCGAAACCTGCGCCCACGACTCCCGTGGCTGCATCCTTGCTCCACCTGCTAAGTGCTGATGACTTCATTCTTATCTAGTAGACTTTCTTCTGGATATGTAGTTTGCTTTTGATTTTCGAGCCCAAGATTTCATTCTTCGGTGGCCAGCGGAGTTGAAATTCTTGTGGAACCAGATAAGATTAGAGTATCCCTTACAGGAGACCTTAGAGTCTTAGAGTATGTAATCCTTAGAGGAAGCCGTATAGGATAGGATTTGTAGCTCTTACAGTCTTACAGTCCTAGTATCCGGCATAATAATCCTTACAGACACACTTCACACCCCTTCACAAAACCTTCCAGAACGTTTATAGAAGCCCTTATCATACGTTACCTTCTCCCCGTACGGTAAAACCAACATTAGATATAGCCATGTCTACAACAGACAGTGATGGGCCTGCTTCGGGGTCTCCGACGCGAAAGCGCGCAGCTCTTCTGCAGCACCGGGCATGTCGAAACACTTCGGCATGCCCCCCACCTCTGAGGGTTTAGGCATTCGCAGTAGGGTGATGTAGGGCTTGGGGATCAAAGCACAAGTTGCTGAAGATGTCAACTCCATCCTGTTTTTTGAAGACTCTTCTAGTTCTCCGTCACCGAAGCTAGTCAGAACACCCACTAGATTGAGTCGGTTGTTGGGGCCCCTGACAAGACCGTGTTTCGGCTCTCTGGCGCCAGTCTATGGTAGCCCAACTTCACGGCGAGCTGTCTGAGCCTGCTACCGTGGCATGTGACATGCGGGCCACGACAGAACTTAACCACCATAACGGGTGGGGAGGGCTTGGGCTTTATGGTAGAATATGCCTTGGATGGGCTTTAGAGTACATGTAGGTGCAGAATGAGATGGGGTAGAACATGGGCGGTGTGCACGTTAAACGACAGCTCAGTAGGGCCGCACCTCGCTCGCCAAGCGGTCGCTGACTTGCCACGTGTCAAGCCTTATTAGGGCGTCTGATGTCAACTTTTATAGGGGGCCTCGATGAATAAGCCTTCGGGAGCAGACTTTGTAATCTACGGTGGCGAGTTTTCTCCAAATGTCTGAACATTTTCAACAGATAACACAGAGATTTTACATCACCTCCAGAAGGGGGCCGGCTGGGACGATAGCTCTTGATAGACACCCGGACAACCCAAACAACATCCGAAAGCCCTGACAGGCCCAAACAGCCCAACATTGGGATTTTAAAAACACCTGAAAACCTACGGTTTTAAACCTACGCACTAGGTTTTTTAAAAGCCTGTCTTTGGATGTTTTAGGAAAGCCAGAAAAACTTTAGGACAATGCCTGCAAATGATTCTGCGTGGTGGCATGTGTCTGCGGCCATCAAGGGCTTTAATGAGCAAGCGACTGCCGTCCACATGTTCACAAATTAGCCACCGCAACTGGACTGTAAGGAGAGAGTCTACTAGGACAATCTCCAGCCTATTAGCGCAAACTGTTTATCGCGCTCTAAGTGCAACCGAGAAGCGCGTCGTAGTACCTGCCAGGCTGGGGCATGACGTATGGCTTACTGCAGACAACTCGGGCGAGATTTCATTGCCTCAACTCAACTGCAACAAGGGCCCAAAAAAAGCAACACGATCGATGTTTCTGATATGGGTAGTTATCTAATGCGGGGTCCCTTTTTCTCAGGGTGCCGCACTATTTTGGGGACCTAACAAAAACCCCTGATTTAGAGAACTACCCATATAAGCCCACGTCCAGTTTTTGAGACAAGCCACGCCCGGCACTGTTGGTCCTGACTCGAGAAGAGAGGCGAACCAGACGCCAGAACTTCCTATGTTGCCATGGCCTTGCAGTCCAAAACATGTCAATTGAGGATAGACTACAATATGGTATTCCAGAACTATACGGGAGCCCTACAACTCCTTCAACTATTTATCCAGGCTGCTACATTCCACCTTATGCTGCTGCACTTGCCCGTCCTTCTCGCCGATGACCTCTTGGAGGTCCGGGACGAAAACTAGCTTCTGCCTGGTACCCCTGAGGCGCCACAGGTCCTGCAGCTCGACTTCGCGCAATGAGTGAAAAGCTTGTGAAGTGACGTCCTCAAAGCCAGTCTTCCTTTCACTTTGTGAGCAGACAGAACGTATTCTCACTTGCTCACCTGCTCCCTGACTCGACTACGGCAGGCGATCAATGAGAGTTGTATTCTGTCACGGTGGCCGGCATTTCGCATCAGTCCTTTGACGGAATGAGATCGCCGTAGTCGTTCCTCGGGGACCATCAGTGATCTCTCAAGAACGAAGGGTCAAAGGTGCCCGCAAGACCCTGGCCGTGCAGCCACCCAAACAAGACTAACCAGCTGATAGGCAATCGCTCCCCTGTATCCATGCGCAGAATAAGCCGAAGGAAAACCACAGAAGTCTAGGCCAAGCATCGAGGTGTATGCAAGCCCCACGTTCCACCTGCTGGCCGTGAAGATGTAGATATAAACCCTCTCTGGTTTCAAGCTTTGCCCCCTGAATTGAATGCGGATTCAGTAAGCGTACTGACGGATCAAAGGACCTGGCCAGTCGCTTATACTATGTAGGTATCGACTTCAGCAGCCCCTGTATTTAACAATTTGGGAAGTTAAACCCCAATCCCGAATCGTCTTTAGTACAGGTCTAATAGCTGGAGATAGAAGAGCCCTGATTGGTGTTTGCGGATCGAGACCATGCTCCCGTCCCAGGCAGTCCCCTGGTCCTCTGAGTACCTTTGAAAGAAGGACAGACAAGGCCGAATAGTCATCCGGTGCCATCCAATTCAACGACAAAGCGTATTGTGAGAATAGTGCTGCATATAAGGACGCGTCCCTGAACCAAACACCCCCTAGGGTGTGAGTCCATTAGTCACGGAATGTATCTGCTTGGAATCTCACGGAACATAGGCCTCTCACCAGGCCGCGCAGCACGCATTCCGAAGAATGCTGGCAGAGTTCTCAGCATATCTGTACCAACCTCGTTCTGGCAGGTGCTTGACTTGAAACATGGGGGACTTCTGAACAACTAGGACCCTTCTAGAATACGAACAAGATACTCTTTGGTCTGAAACCCCCACACAAAGGGGTATAAAGTTTTACCTGGAGTTTCGGACTCGAGCTTGTGGAACCACAAAGAACCTGTTCCATCGAGTCCAAAAGCACTATGAAGGAGAACTTCAAACCAAATGAATTGCTTCGAGCAAGCGAGTCTCGACGCACGAAGTAGTAGCCCGAACCTACCGTCACCTCAACACCTAGTCTCGACATATTGCAACGGGCACTCGGAAACCTGCAGAAAGCTAGTTAAGCCCCGGAAGTACGACGGAAACTTCTGCACACTCTCGTAGAACAACCGAGGCCGGTGGCGATGTCAGCTGCAACATCAATGTACAGCGCATCAGGCCTCAAGGCATAAGATGGCAGGTTCAAAGTTCTACTGGGCCATGTCATTCCAAAGGGCCTGATAAAGCCCTTGTTGAAGGCAAACTTCATGCGCCCACCTTGGTGTTCATTGGCTTGCGACACCACTAGTGGTTCCGGCTACCCGAATCTACCACTTGGACGGCTGTTCCTGTCGTCCCCACCTGTGTCCGGATCCTCTGGGACAAGGTCTTCTTGCAGCCAGAAGCCTCAAACAAGAGTCGTTTGCCAAATGGCTGGCCAGCTCTGTCCCAGAGTTACTAGTGTAGAATCAGTCGGATGCTCCCACATGCATACATACGACCTGGAACCCCCCTGCACACACTTCAGCTCAAAGAGCAACCCGGACAACCGAGAGTTTAGGGCAGATCCCTTTGTGGCAAACACTGCCAGCAAGGGCTTTCCTTTTTTGTCGGGAGACCCTACACTCTAACTAGGTTGGCCCTTGAAAGCCTAGGGTCCTATTAAGCCCAATAAGGGAAAATGTAAAATATCCCCAAAGGCCTAGCTAGCTAAACCCTTGGGACGGATTGCATGCCAAGTTGCCCTCAACTGCAGCTGCCTCCTCAGGGAGCAAGCCGAACTGCAACCGATGCAAGATCCTCGGTCTGGGACGGCGGTTTCAGCACGATCGAACCCTCTCATACAGCTCAAGACCCAATTTTTCCATTGGGAAGCACAACTTTCTGCAGTAGGCCTGCATGGCATGTGGCATGTTGCCTGGCATTGCCTGGCTTAACTTCTGAACTCCGGTACCTTACGTGACGAAGCGATGCGCACACCCAAGCCAAAACAGCCATCCTAGCCTGAAACCTCATGCCTGCGGGGAAGATGAGCATTCAACTTGCTCAAAAGCGGCGAAGGCAACGGAGAACGAGGTCGCCATCCTAAGCCCGTAAGCCTTGGGTGCTGCCCCCCATACAATAAGAGTCTGTACTAGGGCTATAAGGTCCTAATATAGGGTGGTTGCCAAAATTATGATCCCTTTTCGGGTACCCTAAATATTAGGTCAAAAAGGGACCCTAATTTTGACAACCACCCATATCTGTCTTATGAGTATTATCCAACTGTTACTGAGTGGGGGCAGTACCCAACCTAAGCCCCTCGCCTGAAGGTCGGCCACTGCGTGCTGAGCCAGTCCAGGATGGTGTAGTTCGTAGAAACCGCGCCTTGCCATGAGCAGGGTCCCAGAGAGTCTCATACCCTTAGCTAAGGAATATGCCGCAAGTTATAGGGGCCGTAATATTCTGATTTAAAGACTATTCCTTAACTAAGGAATATACCGTAAGTGGGTAATGTGGGCTCTCCGGGGTTGTCTTGCTGTCCTGTCGCCCTGTCGATTTCTGCCGCACAAATAGTACATCAGCAAGACTCTCCGACTCGACACAATTTATCTGATGCCGTTTCCCAGGATATCGTGGCAGCCGACCAAGTGCCGGCCAGGCGCGTACCAAGGATTCCTTGTGCGGCAGGGTGTGGGTCCGTGGCTATCTTGGGAACCACTTCTCCCCTTACCCCGCAGGCTAAGCCTCTGTCTTGCAGTTTGACGTATAGTGCAGACCACAGAACAAGTGAGTTCTCTCTTTGGTGGGGCGCGGCCCCTCCAAATTGATAGAAACTCCGAATCAAATGAGCATTGAGGACAAGCCTCTGCTCGCTCTAAGCACGCGCTCTCGGCGTCTGTGTCCTCACGCAACGCTGCCGCCTGTGCATTGCAGGGACACTTTACCACGCACACGCGCACGCACACGGACGACCGCTTTTGAACATTCTTGTGCACTGGGTGGGAAATTGAGAGGATGTGAACGGGTACATGCCATAGCATGGATCTTCTTGTGTAGCATCCGATCGCAGACCATTCTATTAACCATGCCGTGGCATCTGTGGAAGAGCATGGCTAACGACTGTCCATGTCTTTGCCGCTGTTCCCAATCCGAATCCCAAAATGTCATCTGGCAATCTTCGAGATCCCTACCTCTGCCATGGCAGCCCAAGCGGCCGCAGCCGCCATGCTGCAGCCTGGCAGTGCGCTCTGAGTATCCAGAGGCCTTAGGGTTGTGGAACAGAAAACCTAAGTCGCAGGAGAACGAAGAGTTTTTCACAGCCTTGCGGCTCACCGCTAGCTAGCGGTGGCCCGATGTTGCCTCAACTACATGTAGTATAAGCTCCGCAACCTTGCCAGGACCATGAGTCGCTCCAGCATTCGCCCCCTTTTTGTCTCTCTGGCGCAGCTCCTGCGAAAGCATCATCAGAAGTCCTTGGCAACAGGCGGCGGGGTCTTGACAGGCTTACAACACTATTGCACCGTGATCAGGACAAAACGATCCGTCTGGATACCGACGGCTCAAATACGATTCTACCAGTCCTACTCTCCCTAAACCTACTCAAGCCGGTGAAGGTGCCCTCCACATGAACCCTGAGGCAAGGGTCCTGATACTGTAGGGGTTAAGGTTTCCAAAGCCCCGTTGCCCCAGGTTCGTGATACTTCCAGGTTCTGGAACACTTGGGAGTTTCCGAAAATAGGGGGCCCTAATTCGGTACCCTAAATCGTAGGATCTTTATTATAAGGACCCTAAAATAGGGTACCCCTAATTTTCGGAAACTCCCACTTATTGCTGAGCCCCAGTGCAAGGCCTCGTCTTCCGGCTTCGGCTTCGGCTCCTGGCCATCCGGAAGTGTGGTGCACACCATGAACTCTCAGCTGCCCCCCAAACCTTCTTGAAGCTGAAAGCCCGAATGCTCCTACTAGTGAGAATAAGAATCCGATTACGAATGCCGAATAGCACGAGGTGCAGGAGTAATAGTAGCAATACTAACTATAACTACTACTACTACTACTTGCAATATTGGCAGTAGTGAACGACCAGTAGTAATAACAGTAACTCCTATATTCATAAAAAATAGTAAATAATGATAATGACAGTAACAAAAAGAATAACAGTACGCATAACATCAATATCTCGTATTTTCCCCATAATCAGAAGAAGAAGAAACCTCCCAAAGGTCCTCTGCAGACTCGGCCGGGGGCGACGGAGCCGGCTCCTCCTCACAGAAGGAAATAGAGAACCCCTACTTGTCTGGCACCGTGCTGAAAGGATCGATCAGGAAACTTAGCAAGTAGGGTTACATTGATTTTACTTGGGGATTTCATGTGAACATGTTACTTGGGATTTTTCAAGCGAGTACGACTAATTCGACGATGTTTAGCTGGCTTAGCTGATGACCTTACTTACTGGGTCCAGGATGCTACACTTTGAGGGATCGGCTGTCAAGAGTTCGAGAGCCACAGGCTCTGCACATGATTCCCAGAGATCGGAGGCTTTGGGTTGGAGGCTTTTTGCTTCTCGGTGTAGGACTCGAGCCCTTTTGGGTTCAGGCTTAGGAGTTCTGCTTTGCATTTTTGGGGGTCTGGAGTCTTAAGAGTAATTTAGCTAAAGGTTCATGATGATCTCAAGACCCCTGCACCCGGAACAAATCAGGACCCGACCCAAGCTAACCAGTGGTTTTGGGGGCTCTCTTGGCTCTTTAACTCCCTATTTAAAAGGGATTATTATCATCCCTGGCTCCTGAGCTCCCCCAATATCAATGGTTAGCAAGATTACAAACCACTCAGCTCATTTCCTCCGAAGCCGCGCCTCCCTCGGGACGAAATCTCAGCTCCAGAGCACTCTATAGTAGAAGCCCAACAGTTGGAAACCCAGCAACCTCAATCCTTAAGAGTAATTTAAGAGGAATCCCAGCACCATTTGTCCTTAATCCGGTTTCCAACTTTTTGGGGCTCCTATAACACAAGCCTCGGTCCTTGGATGCCTCCTTGAGCTTGGTAGATGCCTCCTCTGCACCGGCATCCTCTCAGAATTCTCGAAAACCAAAACCACCAACAGGCTTTGAGGAGTGTTTAGAGTTCACATGGAAGTGTTGGTGGTTCTACCTTAACACTTGAATAGTCTTGCCAAGGTTGCCCAGGCAACACTTCCCTTGCGGGTATCATACACTGGCAATAGGAAAGAGTTGCAGTTTCGCGCGACTGGAGGTGTCTGGCCTACGACTGGTTGTGACGGATGCCTTTGACTGTCTTTTGACTTAGCCGGCCGAACACTTACTCTTTCGTGACCCCAATGCCCCAACAGGTTGCCAGCAGGGGTGATCAACCGCCCGCCTTCTTTGCATCCGGCTTCTCTGCATCCGCCCCCTGTGACGGGAGGCTCACTCGGGTGAGGACGAACTCATTGGGCGGTGTGTGTCATTGCAAATTCCACTATGCTGCCAACATTCTGCTCAGAGCAATCTTCGCTGGTGTGGCCTCCGCCTTAGAATCGGCAGCATCGCCAGACTTGCCATCTGCCTCACACGGGCCGGATGAGGCAACAGCGATCAATGACGACTGCCGTTTGCCTTTTTGCGGCCCCTCTTGTCTGCACCGTGCATGTTGAACACAAACACAACATGCTCATCCATATGTGAGTTTCCGAAAATAGGGGACCCTGATATAGCACCCTTATTATAGGTACCCCTAATTTCGGAAACTTCCACATTACTGTCCGGAGGCACGGCTACCTGAGAAGAGTAGGAGACGCTCCGGCCTTCTCCATAGCTCGGGGGATGATGTACCTGGGCAGTACTTGCAATCAGACCCAGCGTTCCCCACCTTCTTGCCAGGAGGTGTGCTTGGAGGGTCGGGGGACTTAGTAAGTAGGTAGTAAGTAGATTTATAAGTACCCTAAAAGGGGCCCTAATTGGAGTTATGGTACTTATAAGTCCCGAAAATAGCCAGTTACTGAGCCCCCCGACCCTCCAAGTGGGATGTGCTGCGACCTTCACTGAGAAGCACTAGTTCACGAGAACTTCCTACCGAGGAGCCCCGAGCACGAAAGCCTCGGAAGTCCCCTTCCCGAACAGCCTTCCCAGAAAATCCAATACCCATTAAATATTAATTAAGGATTATACCTTAAATCAGAATACTAAGGCCCCTATAATTTAAGGCATATTCCTTAATTCGGGGCTATTGGGTTCAATGGGTTCAGCGACTCAAACAGTACAGCTTGTGCTTCAGACATCGCCCGACGTGCCACGTAAGCCAGCGGTACATGAAATTCACCGCTGAACAAGTCACCTACACACAGCCCTGACTGGACCTGAAGCGTAGAACTGCGGTACAAATGTTCAGAATCCTGAAACTCTATACTTCCACATATGATATTCCGACAATTTAAATGTGTACCCTGGGAGTAGGGTGTTCTAGAAGTGCTAATGGTACTGAGCCAGCTGGGCTACCAGTACCATGCCGGCAAGATCGCCATCAAGATCAGCAGGATGCATGCCTCGGATCTTGGGCCCATCCGGCCCTGACACCAAACTTGCTTGGAGGATCATGGGACTTAGTAAGTAGGGTTATAAGCGCCTTAATTGGGGTTATATAAGTACTTATAGGTATAGTTACCTTGTGTATAACCCCACTTACTAAGTCCCATGATCCTTCAAGTACTGGTGACCGACGATTTGTCTGAAAGTTCAGGCTGAAGGGCTTCGGCTGCTCATGCAACGGAGTTGTCATGCCTGCCATAAGCACAGCGCATGTACTTGCTTACGATTGCATTTTGATAGTTGTTACTGTGCGTGAAACTACACCAAGGTCTCAAGGCCATACACTTTCGTCTGGTGTCGTCAAGATGGAAGGTTCTGGTTTTGCTCACCTTCTTTAACCTGCGCAGCCTCAACTCAAGACAACATGCACCCGGAGATAAACGGCCAAGGAGCAATGGCCGCCATCCGCCTTCAGATTGTGTGAACGGGCGACAGAATGTCGGATTGAACAACCACACGGAAGTGGAGAGACACTCATACTTTCTGCTCTCCCATGAAGTGCCTGGCCAGCGGAGTGCTGTAGGTAGCCGAATGTGCGTCAATGAGACCTTCATAGATAGCCTCAGTGTCAGTGCCAGAAGCTGCTGCGGCATCATACAGCCTTTCACACTTCGAGCTGCAGAGCTGCGGGCTCCCTCGAAAGATTGGGCTCTGTTACATTGCCAGAAGTCTTTATCCGTTCCGGAATCACGCTAGCCAGCCTTTGTTTCGCAAACACCTTGTCAAGCCCTGCTGGGCTGTGGCGATGCTGGGTCTGCCAGACCTCCTGCGCCGCAGGGATGCTGTATTCCTAAAGTGCAGCTTCTTAGGGACACCATAGAGGCCCGAAAAATCGCCCTTACTGGCAGTCAACCCTTACTTACCATGAGCCTGAACTAAACGAACCCTTCTGCGATCCCCTTTGTGGAAGCCGGGAAGCCACTTCCCAGCAAAAGCCTGTCTGCAGTACCCAGGCATTGGTCAACTCGGGGAAGTCCTTGGTCGCGGTGGAGTTTCTCGGAAATGCTTGCAGATGGTTGTCTTGCTTGCTTCAATTGGGTACGGCCCCCATACAGTAACAGTCTATAATAGGGCTACTATTAAGGGCCTTATATATATCTATATGATGAATATCATCCAACTGTTACTGAGTGGGGGCCGTACCCAATGCTTCAACTTCAAGCCTCTCTTCTGCTCACCGGATGTGTGGACGCTAGTATGGGAGGGCTCTCATTTCATGACTGCTCTCGCGGTTTCAGGTTTTCGGGATATTACGGGGCGGAAAAGTTTGGGGGTTACAAATTTTATTATTACATAGTCTGGAGATGACAGCTAAGCAGCTAATCTTGACTTGCGCGTGGGTTTGAGGTTTGTATGTGGGGCGAGTAATAAATAAACATCTCCCCCTGTGTCTAAACGCTCTGACGTTCGCGAATGTTCGTGACGGAGAGCTATTCAAGAACTTGAGAGTAAGATCCCAAATGCCCATAGGGGCCTCAAAAAATGTAGCTCAAGACTGCCCCTTCAACAACGATTCACGTTGCCAGGTCCTTGACCTTCGGCCAAGCTCTTTTAAGGCTCCGTCCGAGGCATTCTTGCCGGCTCTCTTGGCGAGGAAGAAGAGCGCCACCATGCCGCAGTACACCATGATCTAAGTAGGACGCACGGTTTGCACA